GCAGTGACAGTCCTTAACGGCCCTGAAAGAGTCAGCGGCGCACCAGTCCCAGGGATTTGGAGTCAAGGAGCCGATGGAGAGGCTCCGCCAAGGAAGCTTTGTGGGGCAAGAAAATGGAATAAAAATTGAGAAGGCCAAGGAAGGCCTGGAGCTGGGCTTTGGAGGTGGGGGTAGGGGCGTGTTTGATTGCCGCCACCTTGGCCGGGGTGGGCCGGATGCCAGAAGCATCGATGAGGAATCCCAAGAACTCGATCCGGGGCACCCCGATGCGACATTTTTCTTTTTTCAGTTTTAACCCTGCTGTTCTAAACCATGTAAGGACAACCCTGAGCTTCTTGATGAGTTCTCCCTGATCTGCAGCAATGATCAGAAGAAGTTCAATCAGATAACTGATGTATAGCCAATAAATAAATAAATAACATCAAGGGAATATGGTAGAAAACACTTTTTCAAAAGAAAGAGGAAAATCAAGGAAAAAGTGAATTCTTAATTCCAAATGCTTTACTCACGTTCTATTCTGAGTTCTCTTATTACGATTCCAAAACTGAACAAACTGAACCATAATTTCTGAAACTGAAGGGTGGCATTATTTTCTGAAAGCAACAATCATTTGTTCATATATTTAAGACTGAGTTTCGTTGAAAGCAACTGAATTTATTTCTTAGTAGATAGGTATCTCTCCTGTAATTTTTTCAGGAGCCTTATATGCTGACATTTACATTCTTCATGTGTAGAAACTGGGTTTGTCTCAAATATTTTGCAATAACAATTAATGCTGTCACCCAGTGATTTGCAATTAGTGACTGACAAGGCATTGCAATACCATTTGTGAACAGTAGCAAAGGTAAGAAAAGATCAACATCCAATAAATTCCCAGCAACTATTTTCCACACCTGTGAAATATAAAGTCATTTCCACAACAAATAAACATTTTACTCACTTTAATACTTCTTAAATAAAAACCAGTATTATATCTTATTTTTTCCTATAATTAAGGAAAATTTTGAATTAATTCATTGTCACCCTAGTTTTAATCCATAGCACAATTCTCACTAGTATTGCAATATTTTACCTTTTACTCCACTAATTTAGCATTTATTAAAAATAATTAGGCAAATTAGAGAAAGCAAATTAAATATAAGACTTTAATTTTTCCTGTAACCAGACTAATGTGATTAACAAAAGTAAAGCTTCACTGAATTTAAGAATTGGTTGAATTGGTTTTATAGTAACCAGACTGAGTAAGGTGCATTTAGTAATGTCACTAATACTAAGCGGAGTTGGAATACAGAGCGGGCCTTTGGACAAATCTAGACAACCTTATCTGAAGTTCACGTAGGGCCAATGATGGAGGTTCTATCTCCACTCTGTTTTCCCCAATATCTCTTCCTCCAAGAACATGTTTGATTATTACCAAACAGAAGTTGTATTCTTCTATATGAAAAAAAAAAACCCTCATCAAATATATCATCCATCAAAATGTATGGGTTTGTTGAAATATTTTAAAGAACATAGTATTAGAAATTTCACCTGAGCAGTTACACTTTTATTAAAGCTCAGAAACCATGTATCCTTTTGCTGACTAAGATTTGTTGGCCTTCTTGCCTTTTATTGTTCACAGACTTTGAAAGCAATTTACCTAGGGAAGTGAGTGAGATAAGGTGTACATTCCAAGGATAGTTTCTCCTTAGATAAATATTCTCAAGAAACCTAGAAAAAAGAAGGAAGGAAGTTCCTTATATGGAATGATGTGAGGAGGGATATGAGTGACTGAGTAAAGGTGATGTTCTGTATGAGGGATGGATTGTAATGAATATAACCTGTGCAGGATGGACGGCATCTTTGGCATCACCCACCCAAGAGCTTATTGTCATGGCTATTGGGTGAAGAATAAAGAATTTAATTTTGTAGGAAGTTAGCACCCACCCCTTTCCTAGAAGAATGAAATATTTTAGGAAATATTAAAAAGGCAGAATATTATGATTCCCTGGATGAGAAATGGAGAAGCATGTTTTAAAGATGAAGCAGCTCCCATCTTCCTGCCCCCACCCTTTGTCAATGGGCCAGAGGCAGAAACTCAATCTTTGTCAATGGACCATCATCTGCAACACAATAGGACCCATCTAGCAACAGAAACTCACTACATGGCACCTGGGAAGATTACATCAGCCAGCAAGGCTAGCTAAGACCCCCACCCCCCTGGGATCTGACAACCAATCAGGATACTCTTTCGGGGCCCCAGGAAGTTCAAAGCCAGAGAGGGCATGAAACCCAGTGATTTGCTGCATCTCGCCCTTTTCTGTTCAGGAACTCAAACCATTTGATCCTGTCCACCATTAAACCATCTTTCCAAGCGGTTTCCATGTTTCCAGTGTCTTTTTCCCCACTTGGAGCTGAACCCAGAAGGATATTTCTTCTAACAATTTCATGCAACTTCCTGTTTTTTTCCGATCCATCTCAGAAACAAACTTGCTAAGGAATAAATATTCCAACAGGTTGTATACTTATGCTAAGGAGGCAATTTCAGTAAATTTTTCTTCTATGATTTTAACTTAATTTTATTAGATATGCTGGTAGATGAAAAGAAAGAAGGGGTAAGAACAAGTGTACCGGAAGGATTAACAGCCAGTTTGATGCTGCTTCCTTCGACCCCTGATGTTCTTGATACAGAATGAAAACATTTAACTTAGTCCCAGCCACATCTACAAAATGCATAGAAAATGCAAACTTGCGTACAACGTTTCAAGTGGGACTGCAATGGTGATGTAAAAAGTTCTGGCTGTCCCGTTTTAGGCCCTAATCCAAAGGCAAGTGGGCCCATGTTTATATTTGGTAAGGAAAATTCATCAATGTAGGGGATTCTATGCACGTTTGAATATCATTTGGCTCTGATCATATTGACAAGATTCATAGCAAATTCATCATGTGATTTAGATATCATATTTGACTTGGACATAAGCTTCATGTTTAAGCATGTATTGTAATTGCTGCTTCCACCTGTAAAAAAACTTTAAACTGCAAGTTCAGACACGTTTTATGAAAATTGGTTTGTGGTGCCACCAACTGGAATTATTCTCTCATGACAAGAGTAAGGTACTAATGAGAAGAGGTTTAATTATTCACATCTAAAAGTTAAATAGCCACAATTAAATAATGCACGATATTGAAAACCTTGCTCTCTACTGTTCTTAAAACAACAAGAAAGAGTTATATGGAATATTTAGAATTAGATCTTCACCAATTAGTTTACAAATTGCTCACATTTGTTTTCCAGATTAATTATGATTGCTGGCCCTTAGCCTAGGAACTGTTCCTAATCTTTAAGAATTTTGCCCTACTTGCTGCTTTCTAGATATGCTGGGCTACAGTGCCAATCCTCCTAGCCATTTTAACTATTCTTTCCGGAAATAATGGCAGTCGGGCATATTTTGTGGTCATTAGATCGGGCAAGAGAGCTGCTAATGTTGCAGTGCCTCAAGAGATGCCATTTTCCTGTATAATGCACTTTGCTCATGAGCCACTTCCTTTGTTCTAAATCTAGAAGTGGTTTCTGTGGTGTGGTAGCTGTATTGTTGGTCTGGCAATAAGAGGAATTACAGGAATCAAGTGATGATGAAAGCCTATCTATAGAGATCTCCCTTTTTTAAAAGAACTTTTAAAAAGCTGCTGGATTCCCATGTTAAAACTGGCTGGAAATGAAGCTGTCTTAAATCCTTTCCTGATTTTAACCTCTTCCTCCCCTTTGTCTATGATAATGGGCTGATATTCTGTCTGGACCACATTTTCCACAGTCCGGGTTATGAGTTCAGCTGCTCCTTTACCCATTCTGAACTGAACAAGGAGGGGATTATCATACTTTTACCATTTGGGCTGCCAGGACAATTTTTTTTTTCAATTTTATATCTTTTTTAAAAAATATTTTTATTGTTTTATAAGTAAATTTATAAACAACAACAACAACACAGCTACACTGTTTCAGTTGAATTTCCCAAAAGCCAAATACTCCAAACCCAGCTTTTCACTATTCCACGGTAAGCCTGTAAAACAAAATGGCTGTGAAAATGGCTGTGAAAGGCAATATAGTCAGTGACTGGAAGGGAAGGGCAGTTCCGGCTACAGTGCATGGCAGCAATTACAATTACACAGCCTACAGTGTAATGAAGCACAGCTTAGCACATTTGAGCCAGCACAAATCAGAAAGCTTCTGGCTTTTGATGTGTAGCAATAAAATATAGACATAGGTTGCCTTCCCTGTAGATTGATAATGGGAAAAGGTTATCATTGTGACCAGATGCATTGTAATCTGTACTTATACTGGAGAAACCGTAGGGTAACGATTTTACATGCTATTTATTCAAAGGCAGAAGAAATAAACCTACAGTCTCTTAGAACAAATTTCTTCAGCATAATAAGTTTCAATGCTAATGAAACATGGATAGGATTGCATCAAAAAGTAAATTCCATTATGCATGTTCTTGCTAGTTCACTAAAAGCATATTGAATATCATTTTAAAAAAAAGACATAGCCAAATGGAGTAACTTTATTGCCCTCTGGTTCTCTCACAAAGTGAACTTAAGTTAATAAAGATATTGATCCTACTGTCTATTTTGCACAACTGAATTGGCTAAGAGGCAGCCACACAATAAACTACTTATATTATGGCACCAGCAAATCATGCAGCCTGTCATGTGGAAATGTTGCTTCAGTCAGATGTGGACAGACATGTAAGCCTTATATTATTGCAATGATTCAATTGTGTGTCCGCTTTACAGAGAGCGTACAACTTTTTTGGTGCCAAAAGAATAATAAATCATTTAATATAGAATGATTAGATTTGGAGCAGGTTTTGGTTAGAACTTTTAATTGTAAAATGCCTTGTTTCCAGGGAATAAGTTTGACAAACACAATAAGTTGTGCTGCGGTGGATGTCACTTCTCTTATCAATCCTCTAACTGTATTTCAAAATGTATAAGTTTGAGAAAGAATTGTTCTTCCTTTATTTACCTATACTAATGATCCAGGATTTGGGGAATATAAGTGGTTGTAGAAGTCATGTTGACCTTTTGTACATTGGATGACGCAAGATTTGGAACAGCCACGATAGACTAAGATGAATGACAAAAATATTGTTCTGTTCAAACTCTTGGAATGTTGCTGAAGGACAGCGAAAAATCTTGATATTTTGATTGATGAAGGAGTCTAAAGAAAGGGAACTACATCTCATAAAATTCCAAAGGAATAAGATAATTATTGCTTGAGTTGATTTAGAAAACAGTTGAACATCTGGAAAATGTAAAGTAAACAAAAAAAATCTGTGATTTTTATTAGAAAATACATAAATTGTAGAGTAAAATGATCTATTTGTGACATTATCACATTAATAAAAATTATTTTATCTGGTCTCAAATCAGTATCAATAGGGGGTTCACAATCACTTGCAGAAGGAGATAACACGTATTTCGTTCACTCCACTTCTAATTTTTCATTGTTATATTTATTAAACTCTTTTCTTATTAATAATTCTCTTACTTTTTTTTTTTTATTTTCCTTGACCTCTCTTCTGATTCTATATCCCAGGAAATTCCAGGATATAGGATGGATAGATTTTAATGTTACTATTTGTAACAGAATCGTTAGAAGGGGAAGAAAATTTATACAGACTCCACAGTGTTTTGGAAGAAAAATTATATTTAATTGTTATCCCATTTTATGTTCAATATATGCAAAATTCCTTCTCAAACTTTAGTGAGTGCTTTATCACTAAATTCTAGAGTAAATATTTTGCTTTACATATTTCTTTTAAATGTGCAATTTGTATTTTCTAAAGAAAATTTTACTAAATTTGTCTTCTTTTTAGAATATTTTTATAAAAAAAGATAGTACTTTAAGATACTATTTTACAGTATTAATAAACTGATTCCAAGAGAATATTAAATTAATGAACTTTGGTATTGCTTATGGATTCCAAACTAGAATTAGGCTAATGCACCAGCAATTGGTAAATGCATCTTATACAGTTATTTCAAGCTTGTTCTGTGAGCTAAAGCAGTTTGCCTTATAGTTTAACTAATTAAATGTTTTATAAAATGTTTTGAAGTAAACATTAAATATTATTAAGTGTTCTTGGCATGGAGTACTTGCTCCTGGCAGATAGCAAAACTTTCAATTTCCATTTGCAATAGAAGATTTTTTTTTTATTTTTAATTGAAAAGTCTAAAATGTATAAGTATCTTTTTAGAAGCATAGATGAACAAACTAAAAATAAGGGAAGGGGGAGAAGAATAGAAATGATCTGATGGCATGTTTTTTGCCTGGCATTGCATAATGGAGTACTTAAATATTTGTGTGCCTTTGATGGATTTAGTGTTCTCGGATCCTGATTCCTGAACCTACAATTTTCTTCGAAATATAAAGTATTGATCAGAAATCAAATCTAAGATCCCTGGAATCTTGTCTTAATTAAAAATTACTGTATATGGTGGAAAGAAACAAATAAATACTAATACTATATGTAATTGTAGCTATTCTTTTGGAACTCAAAGATTCCAAATAGATTGAGATTATAATAATGAAATCTGTGCATCGAAATATAGCATTTTATAAATATAACATGAAAATGAGATCAATTTAGGACAGGACATTTTTTCATAACTTTAATATATGTATGCATTTTTCAGCTATGAAAAAAAAAAAGAAAAGCCTGTGATTTAAACTTAGTTATAAAAATAGAATTGAGAAAGAATCCTAATTGAATAGTAAGTATTGTAGAATATGCTGGCATTACATCATATAAACATTGCTATGTGATACAACATACAAGGGAGAGTGAAATTATAAGCTAGTATTACTGCAAATATATTCAGCGCTATACAATTGCTTATTTTTTGATAACAATTATATGAGCCTCCCAATGGTTCTCGGTATAATAGAATTATAGTCTACTTCTAATAAATCCAGAAATAAAATTTTAAAAAATTAAAAGGCCTTGTAAAGTATGTAAAGTATAAGAAATATTCCTTGCTTGTATCCCATCTCTGTAAAAAGAACCTGTATTTATCCAATTATATGGTCAATTGTGCCTTTATAATCTGGATAAAACAATAATTGAGCAGTACTAATTGCTACACAGGTTTTCTTTCAAATCATGAATACCAAAGCTGTGTTGTCTCATTGGCTATCAACTTATCCTCATGGTACATATTTTGATCTCACTGAGCAGCATCAATTATCTCCTGATTCATCATTACAGGAATCCACATAATGGATATTTTAGGCACACCCAAATATGTAGCATACCAAATGGCAGTATTTCTCAACCTTGGCAACTTGAAAATGTGTGGCCTTCAATTCCCAGAATTCCCCAACCAGCATGGCAATATATCTTCAAGTTGCCAAGGTTGACAAACACTGCCATATGAAGTTCCTTTTTCATTAAACGTCTCACTTTTATCCTTGTGGTTCATCTAAAATCATTCAAGAAATTGTCTTGGTTCCTAAAATAACATGGAAGTTGCTTAGGAAGAATTACAGATCTGATGACCCTGCCTTGGTTGTGTTGGTATTGTGCAGTTTATCAAGTCCTAGCCATGAATATTTACAGACATTAATCGTATTACATGTTTGTGCCAACAAAAAGCCCTATCACAATCAAGTTATATTTTGCTGGTTATATCAAAATATGTGGGCGCACCGACCCTCTGGAATGGGTTACCCACGGGGTTCCGGACGGCCCCCGACCTCCGCTCTTTCCGCTGTGACCTGAAGACATGGCTTTTCCAACAAATTTGCTGATCTGATGGGTGATTTTTAATTGGGAGATTTTAATTGATTATTTTAGTAGCTATTTTTTATTGTTTTCATCGTTTTAATTTCTGTGAGCCGCCCCGAGTCCTTTGGGAGAAGGGCGGCATATAAGTATAAGAAAAATAAATAAATAAATAAATAAATAAATATCAAGATCATATTGTAAAATGTCTAGAAATAGATGGACCGGTGCTTGCAATTCTACCTTTATGTCCACTGATGAGTTTTCAGTTTATATTTTTTGCAGAAGCTTAGGCAATGTTTTTTCCCTTTTCTTTCCAATTCAGTAACATTCACTGCAGGTCAAAAATATTTCTGCTCTCTGTGGCTTTCTGCAGTCTATTGCTTCCGATACTGGCCAGGCTGATAATCTGTAGAGAAAAAGATTAGAAGTGAAAATCTGAATTCATGTATTAACCTTAGAACAAAAATTATTCCAGACGAGGATTTTAACTGCACAGTCATTCTGTCTTATTCAGAGAATTCCAGCATTGAGTTGAGATGCTTTATGCCCGTGTCTGTCATTTACAATCATTTCTTCTGCTATTTTCTTCCATGAAAAATGGATGGCATGGCATGGCATGGCATGGCATGGCATGGCATGGCAAAGAATAGAATAGAATAGAATAGAATAGAATAGAATAGAATAGAATAGAATAGAATAGAATAGAATAGAATTCTTTATTGGCCAGGTGCGATTAGACACACAAGGTATTTGTCTCCATTGCATAAGCTCTCAGTGTATATGTAAACAGCAAGTAATAGATCATAGGTCATAAATCATACTTACAATCATTAATCATAAGTTACAAACAACAATTGGTAAATCATAAGAAACCAAGAGAAGATACCGGTAGTAGGAAAGACGAGAAGATGAGAAAAGATAAGAAACGAGACGGTGCTGTGGGGATTAACTATTCAGCAGAGTGATGGCACGGAGGAAAAACTATCATTATGTCTGGTTGTTTTGGCATGCAATGGTCTATAGCAGCATCCTGAAAGGAGACGTTGAAATAGAAGTTGAAGATGGAACGCCTGCAGAATGCCTTTGAATGTCTAATATCAGGAAGCAGCCTCTGGGGGAAAATTTGGAGAAATCTTTTAGCTGGTCCTTAAAATATCTCACATAAAAGTATAAGTATAAGGGAGCTGAAAGAAATAAAAAACAAATAGAGATATGTAAATGGTTGGGGAACCGCCTGAGGAAGCAGAATAGAAGGAAGATGGATAATTGGTTGAGAACATTTTTCATTACCCTATGTTAGCTTTCATCTTGCTTGCAATTCTGATGAGCAAGGACACAGCTTGTTTTATTTGACCCCCTTCCCCAAAGCAAGACTGTGATAATCTCAATGTTGGAGCCAAGATGTAGGTAACAAGCAACCGTTCTGCAATTTTGTACGGTGCGTAATGGCAGCTGTTTAAAAGCACTGCTTCTCAACTTGTTGCCTTTCCTTTTAATTAGCATTGCTCTCTATCTATCACTTATGTGTGTGTGTGTGTGTGTATTTTAAAGTCAATTACATGAAAGCTCTGATTGCCAAAAGTGAGACAATAAAATATTTAGGTTGGTAACTAAGCAGGGCACGTGCTCTTTGAAGTAAAAAAATGACTTTTACTTGTTTGCTTCTGTCGTACTCAGTTTTAACTTTCTTCGTAAGTTATATAACTGTTCCCTTTGGCCTGTTGTCAAGATCTCAGATTAATGATAGCTATGCTGCACATGGCTGAGGAATTGACACACAGGGTGCCCACGTGCCAGTTCCCAGCTACAGAATATTTTGTTGACTAAATGTATCTGTAGAAGGAGGTGGAATATCTCTGCATAAAGTTGCAAGAATATGACGAGGCCATTACCCTAGCATAGAAAATATGAGTTTTGATTTTTTTTTTTAAAAAAAAGCCATTTTGCATCATAGCAGCAACTCCGTTTGCTTTCCCATCTCTCTGGGGACCCAGCACATTTCCCAGCACATCTCAGTCTGGCAGCCTCCGTCTCTGAGGAAGAGCAGGGTGGAGAACTGGCAGAAGAGTTCATCCTTCCTGATACTTACTTGTATCAAAAATACGCAGCTGCATCTTTCCTTTTGACACTCCCATATTTGCCAATAACATAGCATAAGCCCTGAAAGACATCTAAGACAGAAAAACTATTTAATGTCTGTCTAAGTGACTCTGGACCACATGATCTTAAGGTACTTTTACTTTATTCCTGGATGAGAAGGATTCACCAGAAATACAGAACAGGGTCATATTCAAGCTCTCAAATACTTTCCCTCCTTCTCTTTCAAACGGTAACATGTGTGTCATGGGGTAGCTTGGCTTCCTTGAGCCAAAGCAGCAAAGCATTGGGGCAGCTATCTTCTTCTTCCTTGCATATCTTTTTTTTTTTTAATTTGATTTATATGCCGCCCTTCTCCGGAGACTCAGGGCGGCTTACAACGTGTTAAGCAATAGCCTTCATACTTGTGTATATATTTCATACTTTGTTGATGGTGTCTTGCCATCTCTTGTTTTGGGCGCCCGTGAGGTCACCGGCAATTGACTTCTGGTTGGTAGGCAGTCTTCAGAGGTGGGTTTCAGCAGGTTCTGACCAGTTCTGGAGAACTGGTAGCAGAAATTTTGAGTAGTTCGGAGAATCGATAGTAAAAATTCTGACTGGCCCTGCCCCCCATCTATTTCTTTGCCTCCCAAGTTCCAGATGATCGGGAAGAAATGGGGATTTTGCAGTAACCTTCTCCTGGATTGGGGAGGGAATGGAGATTTTACAGTATCCTTCCCCTGCCACGCCCACCAAGCCATGCCCACTAAGCCATGCCACGGCCACCATGCCACACCCACAGAATCAGTAGTAAAAAATTTTGAAACCGCAACTGGCAATCTTGGCAACGGTGAAAGGTGCTGCGGAGCTGGCCTTCTCTCATCTTCTCTATAATTGGTGCCACACCAAAATGTTGTTGAATGGTGTCATTTGTGATGTGGTCAAGAGGGGAGATGCCCAATATCCAATGGAGCATTCGCATTTCCATGGCATATACAGCTATACAGAATTGTTTTCTGCTGTTACGGAGGACTAAAAGGTATAGCAATAGCAATAGCAATAGCACTTAGATGTATATATTGCTTCATAGTGTTTTACAACCCTCTCTAAGCGGTTTACAGAGTCAGCATATTGCCTCCAACAATATAGGTCCTTGTTTTACTGACCTCGGAAGGATGGAAGGCTGAGTCAACCCTGAGCCCATCAGATTGATCTCCAGACTGTGGGCAGAGTCAGCCTACAATACTTAATTCTAACCTTTGTGCCACCATGGCTCTGGCAAGAAATGGCAAGAAAGCAAATGTTGCCAAAAGATTAGAAGATTAAAAGATTGCCTAATGGTGAGAACAGCTTCCTCAGGCCAGCCCTCTGATAAAATGTAAAGAGGCATCCTGTTTTCCAAACACCCTACCAACTCAGTGGCTGCGTTCTCATATCATACTAATCAGTGGTGGAATTTAATTTTTTTTACTACTGGTTTTGTGGGCGTGGCTTGGTAGGCGTAGCTTGGTGGGCATGGCAGGGGAAGGATACTGCAAAATCCCCACTCCTGGGGGAAGGATATAGCAAAATCTCCATTCCCACCCCACTCTGGGGCCAGTCAGAGGTGGTATTTGCCGGTTCTCCGAACTACTCAAAATTTCCGCTACCGGTTCTCCAGAACCTGTCAGAACCTGCTGAATAGCACCCCTGATACTAATCCATAAAGCACAGGTAATTTTATTGTAGGTAAGAGCAATAATCTTATTTTATTTCTTTTTTGTTTCTGATTTCTGAGAATTGAATAGTGTCTGGCCAGTATTTTGATGACACCATCAGACGAGACAGAACTAAATTCTCCTGTTCTTTAGAGGAGCTAAGAAGAGTTCTGGGTGTTTTAACTCTTGAAGAGTGTTACTTTACTAGTGATTTGTGACTTATTTTAGAGTCCTCTAACTACAGGTAATCCTCAATTTATGGCCACAATTGAAACCAGACTTTCTGTTGTTAAGCAAGGTGGTTGTTAAGTGAGTTTTGCCCAATTTTACAACCTTTTTTTTTGTCACAGAAAAGATTTGCTTTTGTTAAGCAAATCATAGAAGTTGTTAAGTGAATCATGTGGTCATTAAGCAAATCGAGGTACCCCCATTGATTTTAGGTTGCAAATGATGCTCAAATGAGTCTGGGAGGCTGCAACTATTGTAAATACATGGTGCTTGCCAAGAAAGCACCCAAATTTTGTGACCATGAGAATGATACTGTGTTTTCCCGAAAATAAGACCCTGTCTTATATTTTTTTGAACCCTGAAATAAGCGCTTGGCCTTATTGCCATGCGCTCAAAAGCCCAATTGGGCTTATTATCAGGGGATGTCTTATTCTGGGGGAAACAGGGTACATTGGTTGGAATATGTATTTGTTTTTAAAAGATGTGCAACATGGCTGGTTTGATTTCCTTTTTAAAGGTTTTATACACTCATATACATATTTATTGCAAATAACTTTTTAAAAGGCCAACAAAACTTGAAATGTTACTACTTTTATTTATCAGATAACCCTCATATTTAGGCAGACATCTGAAATGTAAATTTTCCTTGAGTGTCTGCAACTGCTACATCATCTCAATAACCTTTTTTCATCCCCCCTGATTTTTGTAAAAACTTAAATAGATTTTTAAGTTTAAATATCACTTATTGCGAGTTAGTTCATCTCACCAAATTATCCTTTTTTTAAAAAAACGAATGAGTATTTTTACTCATTCTATTTGGTGCCAAACTGTCTTGAAAAGCACCTGGATAAACGTGCTTTTTCATTTTTCTGAGCCACATAATGTGGAAAAAAATTGCTGATACCTTTGAGGCACATGATGCGGAAACAATTTGCTGATATGTATTTTAAGATCTGATAAATGTTAAACTTGAGCAATCTGTATGGAATTGGAAAGGGATTCCATAACCTTGAACGAGATAAATATATGGTTAAGTGCCAAGAAGTTAAATCTCTATCTAACATACGGTTCAGAACATGCTTACATGTGTTTATAAGCTTTAATTTAATTCACAGGAAATCCCATTACCTTTTGATAAGCAATTGTATTACATGAGTCAATTCATTTTTTCACCTGTACTAAAACTATTCAATCTGTGTCATTGTATTTTTTTTTTAATCAGTCTCTGGCTAGAATGATTTCTCTCCACCACCATCTGTTGAAATAATGTTCTACAACTCCTAAAATTTCCAGACACATTCTGTTGGCAGTGCTCCTTGTTTCTTATATAAACTCTAGGCCAGTGATGGCGAACCTTTTAGAGACTGAGTGCCCAAACTGCAACCCAAAACCCACTTATTTATTGCAAAGTGCCAACATGGCAATTTAATCTGAATAATGAGGTTTTACTACCTAAAATAATGATAAACAAGGCAGAGTTCAGCTAATCCCTACGCACGGTCACTCAGGCACTCGTCACTTCCCGCCTGGACTACTGCAATGCTCTCTACATGGGGCTCCCCTTGGGGTGCACCCGGAGGCTCCAGTTGGTCCAGAATGTGGCCGCGCGGGGGATTATGGGAGCAACGGGGCGCTCCCATGTGACACCTCTCCTGCGCGAGCTGCACTGGCTTCCTGTGGTCTTCCGGGTGCGCTTCAAGGTGTTGGTGACCACCTTTAAAGTGCTCCATGGCTTAGGGCCGGGGTATTTACGAGACTGCCTTCTGCCGCCAATAGCCTCCTACCGGCCAGTTCGCTTGCACAGAGAGGGCCTCCTCAGGGTGCCATCAGCCAGACAATGTCGGCTGGCGACCCTGGCGACCCCCAGGGGGAGAGCCTTCTCTGTGGTGGCACCTGCCCTCTGGAATGACCTACTCCCAGAGATACACACGATACCAGATCTCCGGACTTTTCATCGGGCCCTGAAAACACATCTATTTCATCTAGCCGGGCTGGCTTGATCCCATCCTTTTGGTTTTAATTTGTAATTGGTTTTAATTGGGTTGTTTTAAATTGATGGCCAAAATTATTTAATGTCTTTTAAACTGCTTTTAAATTTTATATGTTATGTTTTACCGTGACTGTTCACCGCCCTGAGTCCTGTAGGAGAAGGGCAGTATACCCAATTAAATAAAATAAATAAAATAAATAAATAATTGTTCTAAGAAAAACATGATAAATGCACTTTTATCATTTTTTTCTGCTTTTGAAATATTACGTTTAGCAACAATAAAAAAGAAAAACTTTTGTAATATCATTTCTCTCCCTCCCTCTCTCTTTCTCTTTCTCTTTCTCTCTTTCCCACTCTGTCTCTCTCTTTTCCTCCCTCTCTTTCTCTCTCTCTCTTTCCTTCCCTCACCCCCTCTCTTTCTCTCTCTCTCTCTTTCCCTCCCTCCCTTTCTTTCACCCTCCCTCTCTCTCTCCCCGTGGGAGAAAAACGATGAAGCTGGGCTGGGCCAACAGCGCGCATGCCCACAGAGAGGGCTCTGAATGCCACCTCTGGCACATGCCACCTCTGGCAAACTATAATTGGGTGGCATGAATTTTCCTTTGGATGTTGAGTGAATTTAGTTTCGTTATTTAAAATCCATGTTTTATATCTTAGACCAAAATTTGAATCCAGCCCATATTTCTACTGAATGTTTTGTGAATTTCTATCCCATTCCCTTCCTTAGAAATGTTTGGGTTTACACAAGATGCTAAACTAAAGCCAAACTGTAGAAGATAGGTAACTTTATAGAATAAAAGTTGATCTCAGACCAACTTCCAAGAAGTTCTGTATTTTCACACTTTAGCTTTGCTCTTAGAGAGCAGCTGGTAGTTCCTACATTTCAGAGACTGTAATTCCACTAACACTAAGGTGACCAGATTTTAACATTGGTAAAGAGGGACATTGTGGGCGTGGCTTATTTTGTGGGCGTGGCTAGCTGGTCATGTGACTGGGTGGGCATGGCTAGCTGGTCATGTGACCGGGTGGCCATGGCTATGTGTATAGGGTAAGGTGAACAGATTTTAACATTGGTAAGAGGGACACCATTGTGGGCGTGGCTTATTGTGTGGGCGTGGCTTGGAGGCCATGTGACTGGGTGGGCGTGGCTAGCTGGTCATGTGACCGGGTGGCCATGGCTATGTGTATAGGGACTACTCAGAGGGCTGGAAAGTCATTTCTGACAGGTCCTCACACTTTTGACTGGTCCTCACACTTATGACCATCCTCACATTTATGCCCGTGCAGCATTCTTTACAACCATGTCACTCATTTCACAACTGCTTCTCTTCACCATGATGACAAGATAGGGCAAAAATGTAAAATGTGAGGACAGTCGTAAGTTCGAGGACTGGTCAAAAGTGCGAGGACCAGTCAAAAATAACTTTTTCAGCCCTCTGAGTAGTCCATATGCATAAAAGGATACAGTAATAGAGAGGGATGAAGGAAGGGAAGGGAAATTAGAGTAGGAGTGACGGTTAAGAGAGGGAGGAAGAGAGGAGGAGAAGGAGAAAGGAAGAGGAAGTAGGGAGGAGAAAAAGAGGGTGGGGGGAAGAGAAAGTAAGAAGGAAAGAAAAGAGAGAGGTGGTAGGTTTGAGGAGAAAGATTGCTGTACAATAAAAAAGATGAAAGGGAAGAAAGCCAACCCCAAACAAATATAAAGATATTAAGATAAAGAATGAATTGTTAAACTTTAAAGAATAAAAGAGAACAAATATGAATAAATAGCAATAATTAGAAACACACATACATACAATGTATTTTCTTTGAACAGAATATTTGGCTGGTTCACAAATTTAAACAGTGTTTAGTCATTTCAATTAAATTTACAATTTCTATATTTCCTTTTTGCCATATTTATTCCTCATCTATTTTTTTAAAAGAACAATATTACCCTTCATCCTCATCTCTAATCTTAATCAAATTCAATTTTTCCCTTCTATTCTATTTTATACCCCTTCCCATTGTCATCTATTTTTATATCCATCCTCACATTGTTTAATTATGTAATTATGTAATACAGTTGTTTAATACAAATTCAACATTTTAATATAAATCAATTAGTTATATAACTATCTTTTTTGTATATTAATCAATATGAACATGAATATTCCAATTATTTCCATGCAATCCAATTTCTTACAAATCAATTAATTATACTTACCAATAATAATAAACCAAATAATTTCCCCCATATATTCCTCCAAACCACAACTTAACCATTTCTGCTTTCAACACAGTATACAATTAATAGTATCTCAATTATTACAATTCCCTAGTTAAAAAGAGCTTTTTTTTCTTTTGTGTTTTAAAATCTTGAACTCTCCTCTTTTGCCCTAAATAATTTCCCATTGTTTACACCTACCTTTTTTGGTGAGGAAAAGGAAAATAAATCTGCTGCCTAATTTTGCAACGTTGCAAGCAAACAGCAAAGCCAACAGCCAGTTTCACTTTCGTTTTGAGCTTGGTTTGCACAAAGAAAAAAAAAACCTGCTGGAGCAATTTAGGAAGAGCAGAGCCCTGCGCAAATCAGCTGAGAGGGGGAAGCCGAGCTAATCAAGTAGGGCGGCCCTTTGAAGCCCCACGGCAAGAGTTTAAACAGGTTTTTTCCCTCTAGCCAGCAGCGGGGATTCAGGAGGCAGAATGAAAAATCGGGACTTTTTTAAAACGCCGCGGGACGCGGGACAAATTGCTCAAAAGCGGGACTGTCCCGCCAAAAGCGGGACGTCTGGTCACCTTAACTAACACTCATATTAAGGAGAAGTTTACCTACTGCCTTCCTGGGATTAAAAATTAGAGCATAACAGTGGAAATAATTTCTACAGTGTCACCTGCTGGCCAGGGAATGTAGTTGCAGGGAGTGTAAAGGATTTCAATTTTCCTTCCCACCTTTGGGAGATAATCAATTTTGCAAAAGAAAAAATAATTCTTCCACTTGACTAAAATGCAAAAGAGATAAATTGCAGAACTGCCCAAACTAATTTTTTTTAAAAAAGGAAATACAAAAGAAAACTAATACTCTTATTGTATTATAAAATGGTGATCATCTGCTGTAAATATAATATTTGTTTAGTACTTTTACAGAAATATTTGAGAGAGAAAATACCCAGCATTATTACAAATTTCAAATACTTTTTAAGCTATCTACACCAGTATGGAATAACAGCTGACATTACATAATTCCTTAATTTAAGGAATAACAGAAATAAGACATAGAAAAGGTGTCTTTGCACCATGCAGCAAACAATTGTGGGAAAATGTGCTAGTCGTTCCCGACTCTAGCGGGTGGTGCTCATCTCCGTTTAAAAGCCAAAGAGCCAGCGCTTTCCGAAGACGTCTCCGTGGTCATGTGGCCGGCATGACTAAATGCCAAAGGCTCATGGAACACTGTTACCTTCCCACCAAAGGTGGTCCCTATGTTTCTACTTGCATTTTTTACATGCTTTCAAACTGTTAGATTGGCAGAAACTGGGACAAGTCATGGGAGTTTACCCCATTACGTGGCACCCCGTCACGTGGCCCTAGGGATGCAAACCGCTGAACTTGTTTCAATCAACAAGCTCGGCATCTTAGCCACTGAGCCACCGTGTCCCTCTGTGATAAACCACCCCCCTGTATATGACCAAGTACATCTTTCTCTCATAGGGATTTCTTTTTAAATGAAGCTTGCAGCCTGGCAGCAGGCTACAATCACAATACAAATAAACTATCATACTTTAGTATGTTCTGAGAATTAAGTTTATGTTCAAGTATTGTATATACTCGATTACAAAATCCACTTATTTATACTGAGTTGTTTTCTTAAAAAATAATGATATGCAAAAAGCTCCTTGAATTATCTCTTGCTGATACTGGAAATCAATGTTTGATAGTCTCAGTTACAGTACAATCACCATGGAGAAAATGCATATGTTTGATAAGAGCTGACATGACGTTGGTGGCATATAACGAATCAACGTATTGCAGAACTATGATTTTCTTTGACTCAAACTTTAACCTGCTTATAAAAGAACAAAATATAGTAATATCAGTCAAGGTTAGTAGACATGAGTTCAATCCAGGGGTGGGCTGCTGGGGGTTTGCAGGGGTTCGGGAGAACCTCTAGCTAAGATTCTGTGCAGTTCAGAGAACCCCCAAATCTCACTCCTGGCCTGCCCTGCCCTTCCCAGGAGTCCCCACGCAGCCCATTTTGGATGCAGGTAAGTGCAGGACACACACAGAGGCTCAGGGAGGGTGAAAAATGGGCCTACAGGAAGTTCAGAGATGGGCCTGTTTCCAGCCTCCAGAGGGCCTCCAAAGCCTGGGGAGGCGGTTTTTGTCCTCCCAGAGGCTTGAGGAAAGCTTCTAGAGCCTGGGGAGGGCAAAAACGCCCCTCCACTATGGTGCAGGAAGCCGACTAGGCCATGCCCACCATGGCCATGCTCACCCAGCAAAGAACCCATTACTAAAATTTTTGAAGCCCACCCCTGGTTCAATCCATAGAACAGAGTCTTTCAAAAAGATTTTAAAAGCCACACAATCTCCACTAAGGATTAATAAGAGTTTTTGAATTTGTCACACAGTGCATTAAAATTGATAAAAAGAGTATTTCAGCAGTTGTGCTGAACTGCACCTTTTATTTAGGTTTTTGCTCTTTCCGTATCCATGAAGGTTGCCTGTAATGAAGCATGAAACTTTCTTAGCATTAGTGGTTACACCTACTTCTGGTGTGGTCCTATAAGTGAGCTTTTGGCAACCACTGTCAAAAATATTTATGTTTATGTGTAATTTGAGGTCTAAGCCCTCCTCCTCAAGGCAAGAGAGGCCTTCGGTCTATTTTTATAAAAGCAGGCAGTAAATAAAATGTTCGTGATGTCTCTTCATTCAAATATAAATCAGTGAAACTTCAGTTTATGTACACTTTGCCTGCAGCTGCTAGGAGCATAACAAAATGTTACCAATCATCATTAAGGCAAGCTTAACAGAAGAAGGAAACAGAGGAGAATTATTATTTTTTTCATATCCTAATGAACATTCCATGTCTCTTAAATTGCATGGTTTTAGTTAGCAGAAGAATTACCTATACACTGGTCAAATCAACTACTTTCCTACTTAAGCTTTGCACACGCAATTGTCGTACAAATTTAAAAAGGGGGGGGGGGCTTTTATTTGCATTTGATGAATATGGAGATATATACTTCAATTCAACAGACTGACTTTGAAGTTTGATTATATTAGAATTACCATACCGCTGATGTTCATTTATCAGAGGCCAATGGCAATGGTGATCAAACTGGTCAGTCCTACAGGAGATCAACCCTGATTGTTCTTTAGGAGGCCAGATCCTGAAGATGAAACTCAAATACTTTGGCCATTTAATGAGAAGGAAGGACTCGCTGGAGAAGAGCCTAATGCTGGGAAAGATTGTGGGCAAAAGAAGAATGGGATGACAGAGAATGAGGTGGCTGGATGGAGTCACTGAAGCAGTAGTTGTGAACTTAAATGGACTCCAGAGGATGGTAGAGGACAGGAAGGCCTGGAGGAACGTTGTCCATGGGGTCGCAATGGGTCAGACACACTTTGCAACTAACAATAACAACAAAATGGCATAAAAATGGAGGTGTTTATTAAGATCTAAGCAGTATCAACTTTGACTTGGAACAACATGATATTATATTGCAAGGAACATAAGATTGCTGTCTATAGTATGAGAAAGCTTGGGATAAATATCAGTGTCATAATATCCCTATATTTCTAATTTCATGTATTTACTTAAGCATCTTTCAATGAGCCTGTTTGGTTTCTTGACCTGATCTGTGTGACTTCTAGCAGCAAAGCAGAATCCCTTCCCTCATCTTCTCTTGGAAGTAAGCTCTCGTTGACCATTGTGTGATTGTTGGCCAGGTTGGGTCGTTTTAGATGTATGTATTCATGGGGTTTGCCAGTTCTGGAAAAATTTCATTCATGTCAGGATGTAATAATGCTTTCTTTTAATATATTGGTTTAATTTTGGGGAAGGGGGTCTAGGGAAGTTCTAGGGGTGGGCTGCTGGGGATTCACAGGGGTTTGGGAGAACCTCTAGCTAAGATTCTATGCAGTTTGGAGAACCCCCAAATTCCACTCCTGGCTGGCCCTCCCCCCTCCCCTCCCAGGAGTCCCAATGTGGCCCATTTTGAATGCAGATAAGTGCAAGGTGCACATAGAGGCTCAGGGAGGGCGAAAAATGGGCCTACTGGAAGTTCGGGAAGGTCAAAAACGGGGCCGTTTCCAGCCGCCAGAGGGCCTCCAGAGCCTGGAGAGGCTGTTTTTGCCCTCCTGGAGGCTTGAGGAAAATCTCTGAAGCCCTGGGAGGGATAAAACGCCTCCCCCCTCACCGTGGTGCAGGAGGTCGACTGGCCATGGCCACCATGGCCACGCCCACCCAGCAACTGGGCAGAGAACCCCTTGCTAAAAATGTTTGAAGCCACCCCTTGGAAGTTCTCAGAGTTGTATATTTCTTGTGATCTATAATGATATTTAAAAAACCCTGCTCACTTGATTCTTCCGTACTTCTGGTATATGTGTGCATGTGTGCTTTTCCTGCCCAGTCTGGCTTTCAGTTTTGTTCTCAATACTCCTGGTACATTCCTTAGGGCATGCCCTACTGATTGTGCATTGCCACTAAAAATAATCTGAGAAAGACGCAAATACCATGAAATACATTTAGGTATCTGCTCGAGTATGATGGCTTAATGTATTGAGTGTGATGTGTATGTGTGTTTGTGTGTGCACAGGTATTTTCTCTGTGAGAAAGTATAATTTTGGTGACTTTTCAGAGGTTTCTCCAACTGGGATGGTTCTTTGAACATTTCATATTTCATATTACATATTACATATTTCATATTTTTATAGCGTTTAATGGTTATTTTTTTAATGTTTATTATTTATATATTTTCTTTTTCTGTTGTTTATTTCAATGTGCTAATTTAAAAAATTGTAGCTTAATAAAGATGTGCCTTGACTAGAAATTGGGTATGAAATCACTAAGTCATTAATAATGTATTAGAATATATTAGAGAATATAGAGCTGTGGTGGTGCAGTGGTTAGAATGCAGTACTGCAGTGCAGGCTACTTCTGCTGACTGCTGACTGCCAGCAGTTCGCCAGTTTGATTCTTACCATCTTAAGGTAAGCCTTGGTAGTACAGGGGTTTAAGGCACCCTGTTATTAAGCTTATTAAGACCAGCTGCCTGCAATTACTGCAGGGTTCGAATCTCTCCAAGGCTCAAGGTTGACTCAGCCTTCCATCCTTTCTAAGGTAGGTGAAATGAGGACCCAGTTGTGGGGGCAATAAGCTGACTTTGTATAAATATACAAAAGGATGAAGGCTATTGCTGAGCACACTGTAAGCCGCCCTGAGTCTTCGGAGAAGGGCGGCATATAAATCAAATTTAAAAAAAAAAAAAAAAGGTTGACTCAGCCTTCCATCCTTCTGAGGTCAGTAAAATGAGGACCAGATTGTTGGAGGCACTATGCTGACTCTGTAAACCACTTAGAGCGGTCTATAAAGCACTGTGAAGTGGTATATAAGTCTAAGTGCTAGTGCTATTTGGATACTTCATTAATTTCCACAGTGTCACCTGCTGGCCAGGGAGTGTAGTTGCAGGGAGTGTAAAGGATTTCAATTTTCCTTCCCACCTTTGGGAGATAATCAATTTTGCAAAAGAAAAAATAATTCTTTCACTTGACTAAAATGCAATTT